TGTAAAGGCCTGAACCACCTCACTTAGAAGGCATTTACAAGACATCCTAATTATTAATTTCCTTTGCTTATCCTGCTTTGTGTCCTCTTAATGTTTACCCCTGAACTTATGAAACTTTACTTTTGTCGAGCTCAGCAGCATCCAGCAACTAAAAGGTCTATCTGAAGAACCTGACAGCTGCGCTTCTCTGCATCACCCACTATGTCAGCAAGTCATTTATTTTTCCAAAGCTCTGCTGCAGCTTTGGTGCTTCTGCCCTGCCCCTCATTATGCATGCATGCTTCTCTTAATGGAGTACATCACTTCCAACAGGTATAAACCCTTTAATGTTTTCATGTGGCAACTCAAGGTAATATTAAAACAGCTTTAATTTGCTGCTGATCAAACCATGAACTTCTCTATTTACCACAAATCACTCTACACCAGTTACACCATCATCTCCCTGTTGTTCTTCATATCGTCGGTCTTCTTCTACTACAGGAACTCCCACGGAGTGTTACTGTCACAGCAGAGGCTGCTGGCCTCCTATGGCTCTGAGAAGATTTTGAAGTCTGACCACTATGGTGGTAGTTTCCAATGTCTATCTGGCCTTTTTGTTTAGCTTTTCCTTTGTAATGCTTTTTGGACCCAATGGAGGCTGGGGATTTTCTCCATGAGGACAAGGGGCAGCTCAAACTAGTTAACGGTATATAAAACTTTAACATTTTATAAAATGCCCACATTTCCAGTTTCTGCAGAGCTCACTGATCAATAAGGGGCTGAAATGAACACTATCACACTCCCACACAAGCAACATGAGGGTTTCTGTTGCTAGCTTTCAGCTATTAGCACAACATCTTATTTAACATGAATAAACAGGGATAGCTCAGTAGGTAGAGTGGTGGCCCCATAATCGGAAGGTCGGGGGTTTGATTCCTCTGAACAGCTACCCTGAGGTACCCCTGAGCAAGGTACCGTCCGTACACACTGCTCCCCGGGCGCCAAATGGCTGCTTCACTGAGTGAATGGATTAAATGCAGAGAGGAATTTCCCCACGGGGATCAATAAAGTACACTTTCTTTCTAAACTGAACTAGTCTGTGATCAAATTTATACAAAAGCATGATATCTGATTTTTGATGTCTGAAAAAATATATTAACATTTACACCTATCAAGATGAACTTTTCACCAGGAACTGTTACATGACATAATACAAATGAAAACACAGATAATGTCTTAATTCTTTTGATTATAGGAAAAATCCAATTTCTCTATTTTTCTATTTTAATTTTTTCTCTACTGTCATAACTACAGATGTTTGATTTCATAAATAAAGATGTAGAGAAAAGTTGATAAGACAGCAATTCTTCCAGAAAGAAGAACACTACTGCATCACTACTTGGTACGGCAACAGCACCGCCTACAACCGCAAAACTCTCCAGAGAGTGGTGCTCTGAAAGGATCATTGGAGGAGAGCTTCCTTCCAGGAAATCTACAGGAAGCGGTGCCTGAGGATAGCGGGGAGGATCATCAAGGACTCCAGTCACAAACTGTTCAGACTACTTTTGTCAGGCAGAGGTCCTGCAGTATCCGGTCCTGAACCAGCAGACTGAGAGACAGCTTTTTCCATCAGGCCATCAGACTGCTGAACACTTCACAGACACATCACTGTCACTTATTCTTATGGTTCTTGTATTTTGCACACCACGTTTGGCTTGTGAAGCTTGCACACAATGTGACAATAACAGTGATTTGATTTGAAAGAAGGAACGTCCAAACTTCAAATGACAAAGGAGTGAATAATAAGCATGGGAGACCAACCCAAAAGTGTCCGGAGTGACACTGTGACCTGTGGCGGAGACTGGCGTAGTTTAACATAAACTTGTATTGTTAATGAACACTCAGGATCCGTGACACTGGTTTTTCTGGTCTTATTTGTGAAGAGAACATGCAACGTACATTGGCTGCAGGTACTGTCTCCTGCTAGATGTAGTGATAAGGACACTAAAACCAAAGAACAATAAGTCAGTGGTAACAAACAGGAAACAAGTGTAGTGCAGCAAGATGTGTAGCAGTTGTGTTTCCTGATTTACACTGACACCATTCCATCTTAGAAGAACCAAAGCAACTATTCGTCCACACAGAAAGCTGCAGAAACAGAGGTGAGTCCCGTTAGTTTCTCACCCTCACATTTATTTTTTACTCCTACTGATAAAGGCATGAATGAATAAGACCATTTTTAAATTACTCCCAATTTAGGAAACAAAAATACTCAGCAAACTTCCGTCAAATTCAAAAAGCTTATCTGATTATACGTTTATAAATCTGTTACTGACTAAGCCAAGTACAATGATGAAAAATCTTTACCGCACCATTATATTCAGTCATATCATTCAAATAAGAGCTCTTTTCTTACAAATACTGCATGTGCATTTATCCGAGTAGTTAACCAACCTTTTCACCACAGACACTGTAAGAGAGTGTGCTTGTGTCTATGAAGAAAACACAACCTGTATCAACTGCAGGTACTGCCTCATGAAAGCTGTAGTGATACGGACACTAGCAAAAAGTGAAAACAGTGAAATATCAGTCAGCAAAGATAAAGAGATAAAAGCGGCCTGTGGCAACTTTGTGATTGAACGTGATGATCGCTTGTTTTTTAGCAGCGTGATTGCAAACTATTTATAGCAGCTTTAATCACATGATGGGTCTGCATTTTCTGTGTACCCCTTTCAGTCGCAGCAAACAGGAAATAAGTCAGAGCTCAAAGAAGAAGTGCAGCAACCACATGTTTTCTTATCTGTAGTGACATTATTACATCCGAGAACAACCAAAGTAACTTTTCCTGCTTACAGACGACCTCTAACCCGAGGAGAGTCCTGTTTGTTTCTCATTCTCAAATCTGCTGTATTTCTACTAATAGAAAATTAAATAAATAAGAAGATTTGGAATCAGTCATTACATAGGGAACAAAAACACCTAGCTGTCTTTTCTACTGTTCAAAAGGCTAATCTGTCTACACTCTGGGTGTCTTCGTGCCAGCTGCACTGATGAAAAACGTTATGCCTAAACACGCGGTTAATAATGGACAAACTGTGATTGGCACATCATTATAGCCAGTGCTAGATATTCAATAATCCCACTTCATTTTTCTGCTGTGACAGTGTGAGGTTATCTGAGTAGTAAAGCTTTAAGCTTTGCTTTTAACAGTGCAGGTGCAGTACTATCAACAACTTCAGGGTTGTTCATTAAAGAGGCGGCAATCGTTGCTCAAGAGTTGGGAGTTCGCCTCGTAATGGGAAGGTTGCCGGTTCGAGCCCCGGCTCCGACAGTCTCGGTCGTTGTGTCCTTGGGCAAGACACTTCACCCGTTGCCTACTGGTGGTGGTCAGAGGGCCCAGTGGCGCCAGTGTCCGGCAGCCTCGCCTCTGTCAGTGCGCCCCAGGGTGGCTGTGGCTACAATGTAGCTGCCATCACCAGTGTGTGAATGTGTGTGTGAATGGGTGGATGACTGGATATGTAAAGCGCTTTGGGGTCCTTAGGGACTAGTAAAGCGCTATATAAATACAGACCATTTAAAGATAGCTGAAAAGTGAATATTTGGTATTTCCCATGGAGATCACAAAAGCAAAGAGCGACTGCCGTGACTTTTTTGACTTGCTTTCTGAATTACTTGGATCTGGGATAACACAGAAATACTCAACATCCACTATTCTCTTTATTTATTTTTTGACCATCAACATAAATATTTTGATGTAACTTGTGTTTACACTTCCTTGTAAAATCTCCAAGGTTTTCTCACTTTTCAATGTAAAGAATGGAGATTTAACCCAGTGTGAAAGTTTTCTTGTAAGTAGCAAGTGCTCAACTCTCATTGGATGAAAAAAGGCGGTCCTACATATTTGTTCAAATGAAAGGACTTTTGCTGGTCGTAAGTGACTCTAAGGTTTCTCACAGTAGTACTGGAGTCTAAAGAAGAAGACTGAAATTGTGATTAATAGACAGAGTGGGTTTACAGCCAGCCCACCCTGTCATTTAATAGCTGACAGAACCACTTCTAGCAGCAATAATTTGAAGCAAGCATTTCTGTAGGATTATAGTCTTGCATTACTATAGAGAAATGATTGTACTTGGTAATGGGTACGAGATGTTAGTGCTGATATTTGTTTGTTTTTTACTAACTGTGCTGCTGTAGATTATGGGCACACATTTACACTTTAGTCTCACCTGTTCAAAGGATGCTGGCCGACACCATTTATACACAAATCTTGATAAAAACCATTTGTGTAAATCAACCTTTTCTCTCCATCATAGCAGCCAGCTCTCTGTAGTAAAGCCCCCATATTTAATGTCTGTACTCTCACCTCCTCACCCCTGCCTTTCCTTCTCTCCTGCTGCCTCCTAACATATGTCCTCCCTGCTTTTCCTTTGTCTTTGCCCCACAGTTTCCACCAAGCACCCTGTTGGTCAACAGCACTGGAGGCAGTGGTTGACCAAATTGTATTAAAAGACTGCTGCCACTATTGAGATGTTTAATTACATTTGATTGATGTTGTTTTCTTTCCACAAATAGAGTTTGCATAACAGATGATGTCACTAGCAATTTTCTATACAGTATTTGCATTTGCGTTAATTTTGTCTTTAAGGCTTGTTCATCATGTAAAAAGCAAATATAACTGTTATGCATTGAATTGAATTTAGGTAAACTGTCAGTAAACTCCACCAGAAGGGAAAGTGCTGTTTAAAAAGACAAATATGGTGGATTTTAGCACTTATCAGAATTTAATAACATTGGTTTGACTCTGATTTAACAAAACAAACTAAGAAATTATGAAGAATTTTAATGAAGATGGTGTATTTAAGACTCCTATTTAATCTTAATCTTTTTATCTATCTATTGTTTTACTGTACACCGAGGGCCATGGGAGCATTGCAATTTCAAATTCCTGTGTATGACTGTAAATATAGTCTTTGACAATAAAGCTAACTTTGAATTTGTATTTTTTTTTTACCTTCAGAAACATGGCCGACTCAAACAACATCACTTCAAACCAGACCTGTGTTATGATCGATACGTCAGTCAGCACTTTCTTTATACTGGTCTACAGCATGGTCTTTCTGGTAAGTTTCAAATCTTCAGACTATGCTCTGTTAGAAATGGGTTTAAGGATCACAGTGCATTTACCAAGGTAATGTTTCTTCCATTGTCTATGTCCTGCTTAGGTGGGTTTACTTCTCAATTGCTTCATCATGAAGTTATACTTTCAACAGCAGGCATCTAGTAGCTTAATGGTCTACCTGAAGAACCTGACAGCTGCTGACTTCCTGCTCTGCCTCTTTCTACCGCTCCGTATCGTCCACTATGCCAGGAATTCTGTTCCCATTCAGAGACTCTACTGCACCTTTGGAGCTTCTGCCATCTTCCTCAACATGTACGCCAGCATCATATTCATGGGGTACATCGCTGTTAACAGGTAAGGATTTCCGAATGCAGTTGATGTCAACTTCAAAACTATATTAATGGGTCGACTACAAATCCTGCACTCCTGAATAGAGAATGGTGGTGTCTTTTAGTCTCAATGACTTTTGTAGATTTAGCAGAACTATTACTGCTTAGTGAAGTACTGCTTCCTTTCTCTTCTTTCCTCAGGTATCTGAAGATTGTCCATCCTTATAGGACTCACTTCCTCCAAACAATACAAGCAGCCCGCAAGATTTCCCTAATCACCTGGTTGATTCTGCTGGCTCCCACAGTTATCTACAACATCCTGCTTTTGATCACTCAGCCACATGTATCTGCAGGTCCTGGTTGCTGCAGTGCCTTCTTTAGTGAATTCGGCAGTGTGCTCCACAAAACACTCCATGCTGGCTGCATTAGCATCTTCCTGTTGGTCTTCATATCCCTGGTCTTCTTCTACTACAGCATCTCCCGCAGGGTGTTGCTGGTACAGCAGAGGCAGCTGGCCTCCTCTGGCTGCGAGAAGCTCCTGAAGTCTCGCAGGAACATGTTAGTGCTGGTCAGCATCTTCTGTATTTGTTTTGTTCCCCATCACCTGGTTCGCCTTCCTTTTACTTTTCTATGCAGCAAGGGCTTTGTTGGTCAGGTGTTATACTACTTGAAGGAGGTGGCTACCTTAGTGTCAGTTTTCAACATCTGCGTGGATCCTGTTGTTTACTTTTTTCTCTGTAAGGCTTTTCGGGCCCAGTTGAGCCAGAAGACAGCATCGCTGAGAGCACATGTCAATATTGAACAATCAAAGGAGGAGAATGAAAACACTGAGCAACAGCTTAGCATCCTCCAATCAACAGCAACGAGTCAAACCAGTGAGCTGTGAGGAAAAGTTCAACATTTTTCAAAATTAAAACAGACACCTACACAGACAGCATTGATGTTTATATTTCTATCTTATGGCTATTAGTACAATGGCTGTTTTAGCTAGAATAAATTATGGCAAAGTCCACACATACATGGGTGTTTTCATCCTGTCCACATGTGCAGTATTGAAAAAATATCTCTGTCCACAAGTAAATGCAAAAAACGAAGTCAAACGCTGTTAAGAACATGCCAAATCATTTTTTTTGTGTCCCGTTTGGATCTTTTGCCATCAGAATTGTTGTCTTAAGGCCAAGAAAGATGCGAAGTGGATTTATTTTACCAAGTGGATCATCATGGCCTTGCCATATTGGTCCATTTGATTGACCTTTATTATAATTATGTTTTTATTTTACAAATGGGACAGACATGACTGGGGGATGGGACAGAGAGAAAGAATGAAAGAAAGAGAGGGAGAGAAAGAAAACCAGAGGGAAGAAGAGACGGTGAGAAGGGGGGGAAGAAAGAAAGAAAAACAAACAAAACACCTGGATCACCTGTATGGAGAAAAAAAAACAGAAGAGAAAGCAAACAAAAAAAAACATCAACATAATAAAAACAGCACTATCACAATAAACTAGCTAGCAGTAGATATCAGTAGATACTAAATACTAAACGATATTGTGCAGCACGCAAGATAGACAGCGCACAATGTGCTTTGAGGCAGCAGCCAAGAAAGGTGTAGTCCGCGTCTGTGAATACCCGTGTGTACACCTGTGTGCATACCTGTGTGGATCAGCATGCTTGTAACGATCTGCTAGGGAGTGTGGGGAGCCACAGCCCTGTCCACCAGGGTATGAAGCAGGTATGGAGGAGATCCAGGCCCCAGATATCCAGAGGCCCCAGAGTACGAGGACCCGAAGAGGACCACCAAAAGGGGGGGAACCGTGCCACCCTCCTGGGAAGAGCTGAGTAGAGCCCCAAACGAGAGGTCACCCAACACCTACGGAGCAGAGGCCAGAGGGGGTTGCAGTGGCGTGCCCGCGGGCTCTGCCGGCAGCCAGCTGTGCCAGAGAGGACCGAGCTTCAGGCCCAGAGGCCAGAGGACTGTTACATTTCAGACACTTTGATAAGTCTTCACATATCTCACGCCAAAACTTTTGAACTGGTGGACGGAACCAAAGAGCGTGGATGTAATTGTCCGGTGTATTTGCTGTGCAGTGTGAGCAGCTGTTGGAAGGCGTATAGCCCATCTTGGACATCCTATGACCAGTATAGTGCACTCTGTGTAATATTTTGCATTGTATTAATTTCAAACTGGGATTTCTGATCCACTGAAAGGTTTTTAAGCATATCTGAGACCAAAGGTTTGGGTCTAAGCTGATCGATAAATCTGCTTTCCATTTTGCAATAGGAAGGGATATTGATTCATCTATTTTAGAAAGTGTTCTGTATATTTTAGACAATAATTTGGGGGGTTTTAGACTAAAAACTGGTACCACACTTGGTGGTGTTTGTAATTCAGCTTCACTGGGGTTAAATTTCTTTTTTTTACTATGGATTTAATTTGTTGATATTCCAAAAATCTTTTCTTGTTGATCCCGTATTGTGTAACTAGTCTGTCAAACAAAATAAAGTCTGTTCCTTCCAATATATGTTCCAAGTATTTAATTCCTTTGCAACTCCAATCTGGAAAGTTCATCATATTATTGTTTTGTAATATGTCCGGATTGTTCCAGATAGGTGTACGTTTGCATGTCATTTTTAGAAACTCCCACCATGCTGTCAGAGAAGAGCTGATATTGATGCTTTTAAAACATTCATGTCATTTGATGTTTGAGCTGATAAATGGTAGGTCTGAAATTTCTATGTTATTACATAGTGCCTGTTCTACATCTATCCAAGGTTCATCTAAGAGGGTGTGTTTAAACAATCTGGAGATGAACTGAAGCCTGTTGGCTAAAAAATAGTGATTAAAGTTAGGCAGATCTAATCGTCCTTTATCCTTGGTCCTTTGTAGTGTTTTTAAGCTGATATGTGGGGGTTTATCTTTCCAAAGGAATTTAGAAATATACGAGTCTAACATACGAGTTGTATGAAGTACAGTTATACAGAAATGGGAACTATGCAAGTTATAAACAGTTGTAGGATTAAAAATTGTCGTATGTACAGAATGATTATTTACACAGAGCTATACGGTAGTGCAGTTAAGATAAGTGAGATATGTGGATAATTCTACAGAGATAAGTGAGGGTGTAGATAGTTTCTACAGAGGCTATAAAGTGCTGGTGGTTGTGAGTGGTGGTTCAGTCCATGTTATTATTGTGTGTTTGAGGGTACAGTTGTCCATTTTGGGTGTGTGTACGTCCAGTCCATGTGTTAACGTGGGTCAGATGTCAGGAGGCAGAGTTCAGGAGTCTG